CGAAACATAAAAAAATACCCCCAAAATAACCCAACAACAGTGCAAACATAATCTGGGGACTATGTTTTGAATATTTGTTTTGCCATTTTGGGGCATTTTGGGGATATTTTTTGGGTGGTTGGAAAATCTCCCTGTAAGGGGACAGGCCCGACTTAAAGCAAGTCGAAAACCGTGCGGGGCGGGCGGGCGACGGGCCGACGTAAGGAAACAAACAGCGAGCAGGGGCGGCGCTGGTGGGGATACTTTTTTGAAGGGGCCCTGGGACATACAATTCAATACACACAAATAGCAACATCCCCGTATCTTCCCATATGTTTGTGGTTTTTGTTTCCCCCCCCCCACACTTCCCATATTTTCCCATATTTTCCTAGGGATCGACGATGAATTGTGTCTGTGTGCTTTTTTCCCTCCTGATACTTCTTGATCGCAAGCGCACCGGGAGACGCCGGACGCCGTCCAAAGGTCACAGCAAACGGGCTACGAGCGGATTGGGCACCAGGAGGGGGGAGGGAAGGCAGCGAGAGGACAGCGGAGGGAGGAACAGACAGGAGGCGGGCCTCGCTGCCGCTGATAAGAGGGCGCCGTCGACTGGGGGGGGGAGCCGCCAGCCGGAGTGCAACGCCAAAGTGGCGGGGAATTCTGGTTGGGCGACGCCGCGAGCGGGCCAGAAGTCAGTGACCACCGGCTCGTAGACGCACCACGAGCAGGCGCCAAATCCAACGGTCGCCTCGTCACACGGGCAGCGGGCGGATCCCACGCGCCACCAGCCGTCGTCCACCTCACGTGCAGGTGCTCCACGGACCGAGGTCCGGACCGCCAGACACCGTTGAAGACCGTTGTCGAGTCCGGGCTCCGCGAAGCGGGGGCTGCGGGCGGGCGCCCGCACGCCGGGCAGGGGGACCGATCCAATCGGCCGAAAGCCCCAGGGCTGCTGGTGGGGATACTTTTTGCGACCAGCCGCCAGCGAGCGCGCCGACGGCGTGTCAAGGTCCGAGCGGGCCGCGCGAGGTCCGAAATTACCTAGCACGAGCAGGCCCACCGCCGCAACTCAGGCCGAGGCCAGGAAGGGGCCGAAGGGAAGGGGGCAGTGGGCTGCAGGCTGCCAGGGGCTGCAAACGTGCACCGTGCTGCAAACGCGCTGCTGACTGCCATGGGCTGCTGACTGCCAGGTGCTGCAGGCTGCCGGGTTTGAATTGAACTGCAGGGAATTGGACAACCGCTGCAAACTGAGAGGCTGCCAGCGTGGCCTGAACCCTGGTAGCGTTGCCTCTAACGTTCTTCCACACGTTGCCCCTGATTATTGCCGCCCCCCCCGTTTGGAGGCGACGAAGCGGCGACCAGGACCAAGACTGAACGCGGACACGTCGTGCCCACGTGTCGAACCTTCTCAGCTTCTACCTGAGTTGGCGACCATTCCTGAATCATCCTCGCGAATCGGCGGCGGCCGGCATGGACCACGGACAAGATCGGCATCGACAAGATCCCGCGACACCCTGGTCGTGGTCCGCTTGATTCTTCCCTCAACGCCCGCTTCGGCCAACCGCAAGAGGCGGACCCCAGGCAAGCGAGACCCCTGGTGCGCGACCTGCGGGGGCCCCGGGGAGGCCGAGCTGGAGTGCGCACGCCGCTGCCATCGCACCGCGGCCAACCCTCCGGGGACGCAGCCCAGACCCCAGACGTCGGGATTTTTTGTGACGTCGACCCCCGCGGATCGGGGATCTTCTGACCCGGGTCAATGCAGACCCGGGTCAACCAGGCCTTGCACAATCCTGCAAGATCCTGAAAGACCCTGCACCCAAACCCGGGTCAATGCGAAGGATCCTGCAAGATCCTGCAGGATCCTGCACCCAAACCCGGGTCAATGGGAGCCTAGCTCTGCAGGATCCTGCAAGATCTGGCGCTCTGGCTGACCCCCGTTTGCATTGACCCCCGTCTCAAAGCTCCCGAGCGGAGGTTTCGACCCATCCCCCGGGACGGGCTTCTCATCCGGCATCGTGTTACGGTGGTCCCGGGGGCCCCGCGAGGGCCCCCTTAAGGACCGCAGAGTCTCACAACCCCGCCTCAGCCTCCCTCCAACGGGGACTCCACTGACGGGACTTTGGCCAGCAACCCAGCGAACCCCATCCTCCCCGATGTGGGCAACGCTGCAATGCCACAAAGAGACCCTAAAACGGTAACTTTCGGCAATTATCCAAAATACCCGTTAGTGAGTACCCGTTACGGCGCCGCGGACCGCCGTGAGTTTTCCATGACCGGAGGGGGTCTGGGGTCTGGACGTCTATAACCACCGCTGATGCGCTTCCTCAAAGGGAGGCCGGCAGAAGGGACTTCTGAGGCCGTGGCGCTGTCGTCTGAGACTTCGGATCGTCGCGAGTCATGAAAACGACGATGCGCGCGAGGCAGGGCGGACTTGAGAAATCGGCATCGCCCGTCTCAAGAGTCCCCTTCCAAGAGATCCCGCTCGGATTGGGCGCCCGAATGATCCGGGATGACTGCCGTCTGGGGTAACTTCGGTTTGGGCCCCCGAGGTGCGAATCCGTAGCTACCCCTGTCGGGGATGGACAGACCCCCCTTTAGTAAAACGTGGTTTAGCGAAAACGACCTGAGGCCCAAACCTGGCGGGCGCGAGCCCGGAAAACAACGGCCACGGCGCCCTCTCGAGAACCGAAAACGGACAATTCACTAATCGACGTGTCAGGGTGGGGTTTCTGTCCGACCCCGACAAATGAGGGCGACAACTCCTCCTCCTCCAGAGGAGGAGGGAGGAGGAGAAGGAGGAGGAGGAGGAGGAGGAGGAAGGAGGAGAAAGAGGAGGAGCAGGAGGAGGAGGAGAAAGAAGAGGAGGAGGAGGCGGAGGAGGAAAAGGAGGAAAAGGAGGAAAAAGGACTGCCCACCCCCGACCCTGGCTGCCCCAGCCATGAGGACTCCGGAAGGCTGGGCGCCCGGATGATCCGTGATAAAACTGCGGCCCAGCGTATAACTGCGGCTTCGGCCCCCGCGAGGCGCGAATCCGTGGCTACCCCTGGCTGCCCCCAGCCCGAGGACTCGAGGCTCTGATCCCAAACATGCGAGGTCCTGGCTTTTTCCATACGCGGCCCCCAGAAGTCCCGACCCTCCCTCTCCAGGGCCGGCTTCTCATCCTGAGTCGTTTTTTGACGACCCCAGGGCCCAGCAAGGGCCCCCCCCCCGAAGCTGAAAGCGACGAAAAACCGCCCGTCCGGTTATGTTGAATCCTCGGGGGGCCTTGTCTGTCCCCTCCCGGCCCTGTCCGCGTCGAATCGGTGTCCAATCCATGTCGGACTCGTCGGATCCGTGTCGGATCCGTGTCGCGCAGCTGCGTCGAATCCACGCCGCATCCGCGTCGAGCCCGCGCCGAGCCCACGCCGGGCACGAAAAAAGACACCAGCCCTGGGGGCAGGCGAAGCCCCCCCCCCAAGACGCAGCGCGAGTCTTGCTCTTCTTCCGCGGCGCGAGCAGCTCCGGGAGTGGCAGCGCACGAGCCCCGGCCTCCCGCCGGGCCCAGACCCCCGACGCCGAGGTCTTTTCCGTGACGTCGACCCTGAGAGGCCTCGACCCATTCCCCGGGGCTGGCTTCTTGCCCCGAGTCGTTTCCTGACGGTCCCGAGGCCAGGAGGGGGCCCCCAGAGTTATGTCGGGCCTGTCCCCCTACAGGAGGATATTCGACGAACAGTTAAAAATTCTCGAAAAATAATGAAAAAATCCAACAATGGTCTGGGGACTACTTTTTATTTTTTGCTGTTTTTTTGCGTTATTCTGAGGCATTTTTAAACAACATGTTTTTTTAATTTTCGTCCAAGATCCCCCTGTAGGGGACAGGCCCGACATAACCCCAGAGGCCGAAGAGATGGACAAACCTGCCGCCCGGATTTTTTCAGTGCCCCAGGGGGGCTGGGAGCTCCTCGTACTCCCGAGGAGGAGGACGAGGAGGAGGAGGAGGAGGAGGAGGAGGAGGAGGAGGAGGGCGAGGAGGAGGATCTCTTCAGCACCCGCGGGGGCTGGGAGCTCCTCGTACTCCCGAGGAGGAGGACGAGGAGGAGGAAGAGGAGGAGGAGGAGGGGGAGGGCGAGGAGGAGGACTTCTTCAGCACCCGCGGGGGGCTGGGAGCTCCTCGTACAGGAGGAGGACGAGGAGGAGGAGGAGGAGGAGGAGGAGGAGGAGGAGGAGGAGGAGGAGGAGGGCGAGGAGGATCTCTTCAGCACCCGCGGGGGGCTGGGAGCTCCTCGTACTCCAGGACGGGCCTCCGCCCTGGCCTCGCGGAGGAGCGCCCCGGCGCCTGGCCCATCTCGCAGGCGGAGGGGGCCAGCCGCGGCGGCGGCGGTGCGCGCCCGCCGGGCGGCGCCCCCGCTCAGAGGAGCCCAGGCGCCCATCACGAGAGGCGAACGTACTCCCATCCACGTCATCGTCGCCGTCGTCCTCGTCGTCGTCGTCCTCGTCGTCGTCCTCGTCGTCGTCCTCGTTGTCGTCGTCCTCGTCGTCGTCCTCGTTGTCGTCGTCTTCTTTGTCGTCGTCGTGGCAGACGTCGTCGTCGCCTTCTTTGTCGTCGTCGCCGACGTCGTCGTCATCGTCGTCCTCGTCGCCGCCGCCGCGTCGTAAAAACATCAGGACGGGAAGTTTCAGCCACTTTTCGGCCTCGGGAGTCCCTCGACGGGCCTCCCGTCCGTCAAGAAACGACTCAGGATGAAACACCCGTCCTGGGGGAAGGGTCGGGGTTTCCGGGAACCCCGCCTTGAGAAAGTCAGGGCGTCGCATGTCCAGGCTCGGGTCACGCAGGCACGGTGGGAGGTGTGTTGGCGATGTCTGGCCTCGGGGGGCCGTGGCTGGGCCCCTGGGCCCCAGGGGGAGTGGGTCAGGACCTCTGGGGGTCCACGTCATGAAATCATTATCATCCTCCTCCTCCTCCTCCTCCTCCTCCTCCTCATCATCATCATCATCAGCATCAGGGGTCCACGTCATGAAATCATCGTCCTCCTCCTGCTCCTCAGCATCATCATCATCATCATCATCATCATCATCATCATCACCATCATCATCAACAACAACATCATCATCATCACCCGCAGCAGCATCAGCTTCAGGGGTCCACGTCATGAAATCATCGCCCTCCTCCTCCTCCTCGGCATCATCGGCATCATCATCATCATCATCATCATCATCATCATCGTCATCATCATCATCAGTATCATCAGTATCATCATCATCATCATCATCATCATCATCATCATCGTCATCATCATCATCAGTATCATCAGTATCATCAGCATCATCATCAGCATCAGCATCATCATCATCATCATCATCATCATCATCATCATCATCATCATCGGCAACATCATCATCGTCATCATTACCATCACCCCCGTCATCATCGGCAGCATCATCATCATCATCGTGATCATCAGCAACATCAGAATGTGCATCTTCATCATATTCATCGTCGTTAACATCATCATTATCATCCTCAACCTGATCCTCATCCGTCAACTTTTTTTTACCAGCCGCAGGGTTCGAATACAATGTCCATGTTGCGGTGCACTGTTCGTCGCCGTGGGCAAGTGACTCCGAGCCCCCATTATCATCCTCAACATCTTCCTCAGTATCATCCTCATCCTCATCCTCTTCCTCATTATCATCAGCAGCACCATCATCATCATCAGCAGCACCATCATCACCACCACTACCATCGTCCTCATCATCAGCACCATCATCATCATCCTTCTCATCACCATCCTCCTCATCATCATTAGCATCCTCATCCTCATCCTCATCCTCATCCTCATCACCATCATCACCATCATCAGCAGCATCAGCATCATCATCGTCATCGTCATCGTCATCGTCGTCGTCGTTGTCATCACCACCACCACCATCAGCATCATCATCATCATCAGCATCATCATATCGAATCAGCATCATCATCCTCATCATCATCATCATCATCATCATCATCATCAACATCATCGCCACCAATAGACTTGTGGCGCTCCGCGCGGGTTTCTTGAATCCGCGCTTGGCCACCCCCGCGGCGCCACTGGCGCCGCACAGGGCGCGCTCCGCGCGCCAGGGAGGGGTGTCCAGCGCAGATCCAAGAGATCTGCGCGGAGCGCCAAAACTTGCTTGTTATGCTGAGGGGTGCTCTGGAGGCCGTAGTAGCCTCCTTGGGAATCCCGGGGGCACCTTGGGCCAGGGGCACTTCCAGCAGCACCCCTCCTGCTTCCCACCCCCCGAGCTCGCTTCTCCCCGCGCTGCTCCCCGAACATGATGCGCCGCGGGCGTCCCAGAGGCCCACGGTGTCTCTGCCTAGGGTGTGGAAACATTGGTTTCGATCGGGAGCGGCCAAGGAGGGGGGGTGTCCAAGAGGGGGGTGTGCAAATCATGACCGGCGGCATGTGCGCGGCCCAGCGGGGGGGCCAGGAACGTAATGAAATAAGAAGAGGCGCCATGAAATCTGGGGAAAAATCATGGCCCCCGCCATGATATCCACCCCCCCTAGTCATCACCCCCCTCTTTGCCGCCCCCGATTCGAGGGATGTTGGGTGTCTGGGTCTAGCGTGTACGGGTTTACGGGGCCCCGAGCTGCTCCTGCAGCTTGTTCTCGCTCCTGCCGAGCCGCGCCCGCCCTCCCGCTCGTCCCGATCCGCCCGCTCTTGCTCGTCCTGCGCTCCTCCACCGCCTGCCCTCCTCCTCGCGGCGCCCCCTCGCGGCTCCTCCTCCTCCTCCTGCTCCCGCGGCTGCTCCGATACTCCTGTTGCTGTCCCTGCTGCTGCTGCTGCTGCTGCTGCTGCTGCTGCTGCTGCCACTCCTTCTTCTGCTCCTGCTCCTGCTCCTGCTCCTGCTCCTGCTCCCACCACGATCGGGCAGTTCCCTCACAGGTTCAAAGTAGTGAAAACAAAGACTCGGCCATAGCCAGGCATAAAAAGACAACATGCTATTTGTTGGCTAATTATCTGGGGACCTTCCTCCTGCAGAGGGACACAGGCACGACTTGAGCCTTGTGCCCAGGTTGCTATGCTTGAATTCCCCCCCCCGTAGATCGGAGGCGGCCAAGAGGGGGGGTGTCCAAGAGGGGGGTGTGCAAATCATGACCGGCGGCATGTGCGCGGCCCAGCGGGGGGGCCAGGAACGTAATGAAACAAGAAGAGGCGCCATGAAATCTGGGGAAAAATCATGGCCCCCGCCATGATATCCACCCCCCCCTAGTCATCCTCCCCCCCCTCTTTTCCGCCCCCGAGAAGAGGAACGGGCCCGACTTACGCCTCGTTCCCAGGGCTCGGGCCCCGAGGCCCGCAGAGACCGCTCTGGCCAGAGCGACGGCGCAGGGGGGGGGAGGCCTGCAGTCGCGCTCTCTCGCGAGGCCGCGCATTGCTGTCGCAGCATCGGGCCGTCCAGGGCAGGCTCCACAGGAGGAATATCCAGCAAAGGTCAAAACAAATAGTCCGGGGACGATGTGTCTGACTCTTTGTGCCTCTTTCTGAAGTGTTTCCTTACCTGTTTCTCACTTTCGCCCCGAATCCGCTTGCAGGAGGACATATGCCCGACCCGAGGGCAGCCGCGTGTGAGCCCCTGCAGATCCGATTCTTGGGGGAAAAACGGCGGGGGGCGGAAACAGAGGGTTGTTTTGGACGCCCAACAACAGATGTTGTCTCGAACCAACAGCGGCCGCTGTTGGACAGGCGGCCCTCTGTCTAAACTGTACACGGCCGCGGCGACACCGACAGCGAGCCCTGTTCAAGCTGAACAGGATAACCTGTTGGGCATTGTACCCATTCTTTCCGTACCCATGTTGACCAAGAAAAAGCACATCCCCAACCCCAAAATCGCGGATTCACCGAGGATTCGAACATCGGCCAAAGATTTCGGGGCATGTGTTGCGTTCGTCGTTGCCACCCTGGTGAAACCCTAAGCCCCCCAAATCTCCCTCCCCGAAGTCTCGAGGAGCCTGCGCTCTGTCTGGGCCCTCGAGTTTTTTGGGAGTGGGCGTCTGTTTTGGGTTCGTGACATGTCGTTAGTGACGCATCCCTATCCCTAAGATGAACAATCAACATGCCAAAAGTCGACGTCAATCTGAGAGATGCGCCCTCAGAAACGGAGGGAATCCCTAAGATCGGCATCGAGATGAGGCGATGCCAATCAGAGGGATAGGGATGTGTTCCAGGTCAGTGACATGTCGTCTCTGTGCAGCCTGAAGGGAGCCCCGCAGCGCCAGCGCCGGCGGGAGAGGCCCACCCGGGAACGGAGAGAGGGGGCGCGCCTGGGCCACGAGGCGGCGCCACGCCCCCCGACTCTGAAAGCCTCGGCACCAGGACCACGGCCCCGCCGGAACCCGACTTGGAAGCGGGGCGAAGGCTGGCAAATCCGTGGCTGCTGCAGTCAAAAGCCCTAATAAGGACGCGCGACTTTGCTCGGGGTACCCTTTCGTCCTTGCTCTTCCTTGCTCTTGCGTCCTTGAGGTTTTCGTCGTCCGCCGCCCCAAAAATCCCAACTTCGGCTTCCAAGGGTCTTGCGTCCTTACCGCGTGTCCTTATTAGGGTGTTTGACTGTAAGACGGTCTTCCTGGAAGGAGGAGAAACAAATTCCCGGAACCAAGCTCAGCGCACGAAGTGATAAAAAAGGCTGCTCTCCAGAAGGACAAAAACAATCTCCCGGAGCTCCGTTTTTGCAACCGCGGGTTTGCCAGCCGCCGCGTGGGTTCTGAGCACAAAAGAAAAAACAGCTGCACAAACATATAGGCTGGCGGCCAATCCGTGCAGATGTAACTATCCAATCGGCGATGCTCAAGTCGGGCCTGTCCCCGTACAGGGGGATTCTCGACGAAGAATTAAAAAAAAACAAAAATGCCTCAAAGAGGTTGAAAAAAAGTCCAAAAATTGTCCCTGGACTATTTTTGGACTATTTTTGGAAGTCCCCCTGTAGGGGGACAGGCCCGACTTAAGGCGATGCCCTCCCCCCCCCCATCCCTGGCGCGCGGAGGCGCCGCCAGGGGGGCCAAGATCCGATCCAGGACACCCGTGCGGACCCCTGGAAGCTCGTGCCTGTACCGCTCTCTCTTCTCCGACCGGAGGGGGGCTCGCTGGCCATCGCGGAGCGAAGAAGAAGGAGCGGCAGGGCACGCTGAGCCAGGAAGCGGGCTGCAGACGTCGAAGCCGAGAGCTGCAGAAACGAAAGACTCACGAGCTAGAGCAGGAGAGGAGCGCGCGGCCGCACCTCTTCTTCGCCTTCGCGTCGGCCTCCTCCTGCGCAATGCGCCTCACCTCCGCCTCCTCCTGCGGGCAGCTG